TAACGTTTCTCGAGCTTGAGGCATTAAAACCATATGCTCAAATAATAAGTTGACGAGTTCAAGATAAACGGGGCGGGCGATTAAAAATATAAGGCTTAAGGAAGGAGAAGATTCTGGTTTGGTTTCGTAATACTGTCCTCGAAGAATAGAAAGCCAAGATCCAGGCTTTAAGGTAACGTTTTTCGGTGTTTTGTCCTTTAATGTTAAAACATGTTCTTGGAGCCTTTGATGAACCGACGCATGATGAACTGGGTTTGGAGATTTTTCTTCATAAAGGCCAAGAGGTCTTTCCCCTTCAACCTGGAGAATCAAAGCATCGTGATGAAAAAATTGGGGTTGAGAAAGTTTTTGTGGGTGCCAAGAAGCATGAAAGTCGATTTGCACTTTTGATCGAAGAAGATTTTCAAGGTGTTCTGCAAGATTTTTTAGAGGGGGATGGAGACCATCAATATCTCTACAGAAAAGATCAGCTCCTTTTTCGATGAGTTCAGAAACTTTTGTGCTATCAGGAGTAAAGCCTTGTTGCTTTTCTCGGTTTATGGAAGGAGAGCAAAAGTTTTGTGGTGGAATTTGCAAACCATTTTGAAAGAGTTGTAGAGAGTTTTGAGTCCATACCGCAGAAAGGTTTAAAAGGGTATTTAAATCTTTCCAACTAAAAAGGGATTGACGAGTATGCCCAGAATCCGCCTCCATATGAAAAGACTTCTTACCAAAAATATCTTGCGAAAAGGTTTCGGGAGATAAAGGAGAGAAAAAAGTTTTTAAAGATTCAGACATGTAAAAAATCATCCCATTTTGGTTAATTAAGGGCGTTATGATGAAAAAACCACTAATCGGTGTTACTTTAGACCATGAAACAACAGAGTGCTATTCTAAGTTTCCTTGGTATGCGCTTCGAACGCATTATATGGATAGCATCCTTCAAAAAGGAGGGCTTCCTGTTGCAATTCCCTATGGAACAAACGGGTATGCAGAGCTTTATGCAGAATCTCTGGAGGGCTTAATCATTACAGGAGGAGACTTTGGTATTGACCCGAAGCTTTATGGCGCGACAGAAATCCACCCTCGCGTTTCAATAAAGCCGGAGCGTACCGAATTTGAAATGGCCCTTTTTAGAGCTTTTTTTGAGAAGAAAAAGCCAATTTTGGGGATTTGCGGGGGAATTCAATTGATTAATGTGGCTTTTGGAGGAACTCTTTACCAACATTTACCAGATGAATATTCATCAAATATATTACATGAGAAACCGAATCCTCGAGATGAACCAGGATATAATATTCGAATTGAGGAGGGAACAAAGCTGCATCAAATTGTTCAAGTCAATCAAGCACAGGTGAATAGTTCCCATCATCAATCGATTAAAGAAATAGGAGCAGATTTGCGTGCAAATTCTTTTGCTCCAGATGGCCTTTTAGAAGGCCTTGAGCACAAAACACATCCTTTTTGCTTAGGGGTGCAATGGCATCCAGAAATGTTTGTGGATCCTGTAGACCATTCGATTATTCGAGCATTTGTACAAGCGTGTTAAAGGCATGAAATCTGAACCGATTAGAATTGCTAAATTTATAGCTCAGGCAGGCCTTTGCTCTCGAAGAGAAGCGGAACGCTGGATTACAGAACGACGCGTTTTTTGTAATGGTGAACGCGTTGAAACTCCTGCAACGTTGATCATTCCTGGTTGTGATAAAGTGATGGTTGATGGGAAAATTATTGGGGATGAACCATTCATACTGAGACTATGGCGCTATCATAAGCCAGCGGGACTTTTGACGACACATTCAGATCCTGAAGGACGACCAACAGTTTTTGACTCTTTTCCTAAAAGTTTGCCCCGTGTCATTTCTGTAGGACGTTTAGATTTAAACAGTGAAGGACTTCTTCTTTTAACAAACCAGGGAAATCTTTCTCGATTTTTAGAACATCCTACAACAGGTCTTAAGAGGCAGTATAAGGTTCGTGCTTTTGGTGTGAAGCATCTTGCTCAAAAAAATTGGGATCAGCTCACAAAAAATCTTGTTGTTGAGGGGATCCGTTATAAAAATGTAGAGCTTTTTCTTGAAGGGACAAAAGGGGCCAATACTTGGTTAAACTTTACTTTGAAGGAAGGAAAAAACAGGGAAATTCGACGAATTATCGAGCATGTTGGAGGGTGTGTGAATCGTTTGATTCGAACAGACTATGGTCCTTTTTCTTTAGGGGACATAAAAAAAGGCGCTGTAGAAGAAGTTTCTTCTCAACGCCTTTCGAGCACCCTTAAACAGCTAGGGTTTAAAGAAAATTAAACCATCGTTGTGACATCATCGATATCAAAGGTTACGTTAAAGTCACCAATAAACGAGGCAACGTCTGTAAAAGCATAACCACTATCACTACCATGGCCTTCTAAGGTCACACTTCCGCCCCCTTCAAAGGCAATGAGCAAGTTTTCCGCATCAGACGTTACAGAATCAATCGCTGCTTCAAAGTCTGTTTGTGTAAATGTTTTTGTGTCTAACTCATCTGCAAGAAGCTCATGGAAATTAAGAGTATCTTCCGCACGGTTAAAGTCTATTATACTATCATCTCCTTGTGCCGTCCATTGATCCGTCGTATTTTTATAAAGTCCAAAGATAAATGTATCATCGCCTGTTCCGCCGGTTAGAACATCATCTCCCCAATTGAAGGTATTTTGATCTTCGTCCACTCAAGGGCTAAGTCGCCAACAAGCTTGTCATTCCCGGCTCCTCCATCAAGGGCGTCATCAGCGAAGCTGAACGTATTATCACGAATATCAACCTGAGCAGAAACCTCATTGAGGGAGTTATTAAAACCACCTGGTTGATCGTTGTTTATAGTTTCTGTACCAGAGGCTTCTGTGATGTAAGTTTGTGAACATCGCCAATTAAGGCATCATCGTCATCTCCCCCGTCAAGGGTATGGATCCACATCTCTATGGTGTTGCTTATAATAGAAGCATCTGCAAAAGCTGTAGCAAAAGGGTCGTCCG